AAAGCAACCCACCAACGGCCCGAAGAAGCGCAAATCCGAGGAGAGCAGTGAAGTCAAAGAGGAGACGGTGGAGGAAGACGGATTGTTCTACGGCGAGTTGGACAACGATAATATGGAATATAACGAGGTTGGTTATTGTTTTTTTATCATCTACGATATACTAGAAAAGAATTATGTGTTTTAGGTAAGAAAACTAAAATTTCTTGAAGTGCAATTCGATAAAAAAGAAAGATACAGTGGACTAATAAGCTCGCTACAGAAGACTATGAAGGACATGGCTTGATGTATTTATCACCTCGTGCCTACAGGGTATATAACACTATCTCGGGCCAAATTACTAAACGTGGTCTTCAGATAATAATATTTATTTATATACCTACGAGTATATGGCGGGAGATTCTGGAGAGGCATTTACACAGAAACCGTCTTCTATAATTGCGGCAGTTTAGAAATGAAAAAGTTATTTAATGGAACAATGAGCGTTTATTGCGTGTACTTAACTTCCAGATACGTAACTGCGGATTTTTTATTTTAGAATAACTAAGTGACAGGACTGACAAGTCGTGCCCCTGATATTAAGCGACATTCCCGCCCATATCAGTTGCAGAATGATTCAGTGCTTTGAATTACAAAGATCTGAGGGGCACTGCCACTGCGCCCGTCACTCTGAGATATACATACGTTGACAAGTCTCTTGTGCTTGTAATTTCACCAGCTCCCTTCCCCTTCATAACTGGAACGCAGTAATGCTCACATTACTGCTTGACGGCAGAAATAAGCTGGCAGTACTTCCCTGGACAAACTCGTTCACAAGGAGCTACTAAATGCTGCAAAGGTAGAGTGTGCCCTGTCAGCCTATTATGCTTATGCGTTTGCTTGGCTCCGGTATGGTATTTTGTTATGGGGCCACAGTACTGACGCCAAAGATCTGTTCATTATACAAAAAAAGTGTATTCGCATAATCTATAACATCCGACCCAGAAATAGCTGCAAACAAATTTATATAAAGGAACATATACTCACACTTCCTTGCATATATTTATTGGAAACAATAAATTTTGTAAGGAAAAATATTAATAATTTTGAATTTGTTAAGAGTGATCGCCGAAATACAAACTTGGTCTTACCAACTCCCCGTATCGAAAAGTATCGAAATAGCCCACATTATAGAGCAGTAAAAATATATAACAAATTACCTGACGCACTAAAAACAATAGAAAAAAACTCCACATTTTATAATAAAATTAAACTATTACTAAACCAAAAATGCTATTACTCAATTAATGAATATTTTGAAGATGACTCCCATAAATGACATTGCTACCGTTATGTAACTATTTACTTGTATTTAAATTGTATTGAAATTTCAATACAATTTAAATACAATTGTATTGAAATTGTATTAATAAAGTTATATGTAGATCATAAGAATTACCATATTTGTTATACCCTTACTGGGTGCATGTAACATTTTGAATGTAACGTGTATATGCAAATAAATAAATAAATAAAAATAAATAAATAAATAAATACAAAAATAAAATCTAAAATATTAAATCGTGATTGATATATTATTAATTGGGGTGCACTTCATGGCCATTCCAAATAATAAAAACATGTCCGCCTGCGTCCACTCCACTGTCGTGTCAGGTGCGCCAACATTCGGTGTTGCCGTTTAATAATTACCTAGTAGTGTCCTCTACATTAATCTAACGAATTAATATTAGCGCCATCTATTTGTTTCATATAACAATTCAGTGTAACGTTTCATTTACAATCCATAAATGTCAAAATGAGGTTATAAATTAAATGCGCTGTTTGCAGTTTGCTTTACGAACGTCGCCGTAATGTGGCTCCGACATAATATAATATTAGAAACTTACAAACAGATTGAAAATTCCCGCGGTCCTAGGGCCAGTCAGCTTGACGGCTAAATTAGTTTGGGGGTAGTGTGCCCAGAGTTTTTGTTATTCGAACGTCATACCTCATAGTAAAGATGGCTGACATTTTTTATACGAACTGTCAATCTTTTGAATGGAGAAATAACCAAAATTTAAATTCACAAATTTAAATTGTTTTCTGTTTTCTACGGCTGTGGCATCGTGCGTCCTTCTTGTGTGTTTTGCTTAGAAGATGGAAAAAAAATAAAAGAAAGGAGCTGCCCTAACTACGCAATGAACGTGCATACCTAAACAAAAAAAGAGGGAAGAAATAGCGGATTTCTTTAGTGTCGTACCATAATCTATTGATAAGTCATTATCGACATGCAAACATTTCATTAAAGTAGATCAATATTCCATTTGGGAATATTTTAGGTTATATGAAATGGTTATATGGGAATATCCGGGAATGTCACATGTAACCTAGATACATTCAAACTTATGTTAAAATTTGACTCATCAATATCATATCATAGTGAAGCAAATAAATGAAGATGGTCTTTGATTCAATGTTTATATTCGGCACTCCTATGATTTCCAACCATTCTTTTTTCTTTTTTGATTTGTAGGTAAACTTGAAATAGTAAAAATAATAATAATAATAAAATAATAAAAACCTCGTAGTGAATTATTTTAATAACAGAATATCGATAATATGTAGGCTTCCAAGAACAAGACTATCTCAAAATAATCGTTAACAACAATCATCAAAATATACAAACAAACAGGCAATCTGAAGAAACCAAAGCAAGATTTGGCAATATTTATGAATAAACTACTTAAATATGTCTAATTACATGAGATATTTGGTCTTTTGTGTGTTTTATAGACAGAAAAATAACACGTGGCGGTACAATTTTACATTCGGTCGATCTTCGCATTTCAAATGCCACATCCCATAATGCTGCAACGACGAATTTTTATTAATACTTAATTGTTCTCACTGTCAATATTTTTGTCCATTTTATTCGAATACATGCGAATAATTTAATAAAATACTTGGAAAAATATTTTTTTGACACTTGATGTACTTGCCTTTGACAACCGTATCATGTACCTCATGTACTGCGAAATGGACACTGTTGGCATTTAAGATGACGTTACGTATTTTCGATTCCCGTGTTTGACACAGATCAATGTAATGCTATCTCTTTTGGCTTAAGACGGCACGCAATGGTTAAACAAAGACAATAAGATCTTTATGTTTTCAACGTCGAAATGCATCATATACATACATATAACGTTTGATTTATATATGTCAACATAACATGTTTTTTAGTTTCCATAGTCTAAGGTGTTTTGTTTGTAGACAATCGAAGACAAAGAAGCCCTGATCATTACTGTACTAGGTATTTGTATTGTTTGTTTTTCAGGATGAGGAACCCGGAAAACCTGGCAGCAGTATCGGCCAATCTTCTGGTAAGTTTTAGTAAATTATTTTATTTTATTTCATTAATTAATTCAATGTTTGTTTGCAACGTGACTTCCCTCTTGTCACTTGCTTTTATTTATTTTTTTAATTCAAAGCAAAAAATATTTTTCTTTATTATTTTTCGAAATGCGAAAATAATAAATGTATTATTTTGTATTGGGTTTTTAAAACGCGCGACCGGAAGACGTTCCATACTTGATGACTTTACGATATTTAAAAATATATTAAGCGATTTCAAAATTAAAATAAAATCACGGTTTTCAAATCATCTCTTACTTTTTCAAGTTAAGAAAAATTTCGTAGGTTTTATAATTTGAAAAGCACACGATCTTGGTAAAGTTTTTAGAAAAAAAATCTGATCCCTATTCCCGGTCAAAATGTAATGTCATATATATTACTCAAGAATAAAAATATTAAGGTAAAAAATATATATATTTTGAGATCGCTTTCAAAAGTGCTTTCAAGTGTTTGTGCATAGAGTGAAGATCATTTTTGCGAATGGACATTGTTAAAAGAGAAAAGAAACTATGAATGTCTGTAAGGTAGGCCATTTTTCATATTTAAAATTTTGTAGATATGTTTGTTTCAAAATGAACCATGAATGTTTGTTTATTTTATTTTATTTCGTAACAATGTCCTGGAATTTGACAGGACTATCTTACAGACATGTCATGAGACAGTTTTTTAATCTAATGTTTTATTTTAACATTCATGGTTCAGAATGTAGAGAGAGAGCATGGTAATGACATGAAATATTATTTAATAAACCCTGTGGCAGTCGATGGTTATATTTTGACACTAGCCACATGAAGTCAAATTTAAAAAAAATATGTGGACTCAGCAGGACCAAGTTTTTTTTTGCTCCGAGCATAGCGTTCCAGCCGACGACAATATTTTTAATTTTTGAACTTTAATCTGCCCTGTGCCTCCCGTGGTCTTATGGTGTTTTTAACCGTTATTTTTTGTTCTATGAAGATTAGTTGGTTATTCGATCTAATTGGCTAAATTTTATTACTACGGGTTAATATATCTAAGAATTAAAAAAACAAAAATGAACATCCTGAATATTTCCTAAAAAGCTTCTCACGTAGTTAAAAGCAACACTTAATATTTTGCTGTCAGCCTATGTACCTCCGACTGCTGAGCACGGGTGTTCTGTAATTTGCTACTAACATAGGTTTTTAGTCACATTAATTTATTGGGGAACATTTTCCTGCCTACTATCAAATTAGACACAACTGTTGCTAGATTTTAGTCCGAGTTCCTTGTTTTCAGGCCGTGGTGCCGCCTACTTGCGCGTGAAACCAGAAAGTGAATTATTCTTCCATCAAACCAAACACAACCTCGCTAAAACAAGTTCTGAGTACATCGAAAAGCTGTCGAAAATGAACGCCTCGGAAATGCAGAAGGAATTCAGCAAGTACGGCCTCAACACAAATGTGGCGACGGAAGACTTGCAAAAGCATTACGAGAAATCTGAAAATGATTATTACAAATCGTGGTTGGAGCAAAATGGCGAATTGGAAGTTTCCCTCCTGAAAGCGAGTCAAATTAAAAAAACGAAACCGGAAGTCCGCAACCAGAGATCGGAAGTTGAATTAATACCAAAGACGAAAGACGCCAGTGTTGCCAATAAAGAAATTTGCTCTAAAATCGGAGAGAAAAGTCAAGTGCGTCGACGTGGACGACCGCCCATTTTTAAAGATAAAAATGTAGACATCGGGGAGACCGTGCTTAAATCTGACCTAGACCAATTTTTAGAAGGCAAGGAAGTGAGTTCGTCTGGATTGTCGCGGAAAGATCTGGAAAGGGTTATGATGGGGAAGTTCAATCCGAACAGGCGTTACTCCAATGAGGCGATGTGGGCTGCTCTCGTGGACGTTAAGAAAGGAGGAAGTATTTATAGGTGAGTGAACTGCTGAACACGCTTCGCTTCTAATTTTCCCTGGACAACAATGCAGGTTGGGTTGGGACACGTCCACCTAGATAACTGAACCTTCGCCGACATGCACCTTACCTATTTCTGCCGCCAAGCAGTAATGTTGGCATTACTGCATTCCGGCTTAGAAGGGTGCTGGTGGTTACAGGCACATGGGACTTGTCAACTTATGTGCAGTGCCCCTCAGATCTTAGCGATTTAAAGCTCTGAGTGGCTTTGCAACTGTAGTGGGTAGGCCTGTAGGCGCACGACTTGTTCGTTCCGTCATTTGATAATAAAAAAGAATGCAGGTTTCCTAAGGCAAAATACTTAGTGCAGTGCAGGCTCGTCGTTAGAAATCGAAACCTGGATTGCACTTAATTTATGTCTAATACTTTTAATTTATCGGCACAATGAGCATCAAAAATATTCAAAGGTACATGCTAATGCTGGGAATTGAACCGTGAATCTTATAGTTATAAAGCACCTCGGTTCAGGCAATCACTAGTTTTTACTCTCCTCAAGTGCAACGTGCCATAACACAAATGATGCATGTGGACACCGTTAAAATATCGATATAACGGAATTACTATGGCCAATGGACCCTAATGGTAATAAGTTAGTTAATTCTTAAATCTGAAACTAGCATATCTTACGAAGACATATCATCCATTCATTAAAAATGAGCATCCTACTACAAAAATCAGGGTCTAGGAAGGAAAGTCTGGAATACTCCATCCTTATTTCGGTGACATATTTCCCATTCGCGAAGCACTTTACTTCCTCTTTAATGCGTGTTGCAAAGGAATGGAATACAGTATCTACGTTTTTTCAAAATATTAATTTTTGGTTATTCAGGGCCTTAACAGTAAATTACAATTTTGTATATTACAATTTTTGTTCCAGGGCGGCACAAACCCACAAAGTGCCCCGAAAGTCACTTCGCAACTGGATGAAAAGGTGCCACATAAAATCGTCATTTCCTATGCCACAGCAACTAAAGCAATTCGTTGAGAACAGCAAGAAACAGAAGGAGTTCAAAAACTACGACGGTTACCCGGAAAACCAGAATTACGGGGAAAAAAGCGGTAACGAAACTGAGCAGTACGAGGGCGAAATCGAATTCGGCAAACACTTCCTTTTCAGCACGGTCTCTAGCGAAGACGAAAATGTTGCCACGCAGAAAAACGACGAGAGTGAGGAGAATAAAAACGAAGATGGCAACTCTGCGCTGAACATGTCGTTGCACGAGTGACGTTCTATGTTCGAACAGTAACGGTTTTTTTTGGCGATTACAATCAGGTTCCATTTGTTGTACTAGTGACGTTGGCGGCAATCTGTACACTCCCTCCAAAGTGCATGGCGCGTCGCAAACTCAACCGACAATTGCTTTCTGCGCGACTAAAGGGACCATGCATTAACGAACATGTTGGCCGAGTTGGTCAACGTATTGGCAATGAATGTAGGGTGACGGATGTAAAGATTTGTAATAACGGTCATTTTTAATCCCCGACGCAAAAAAGTTTATACAGTGACGTATGGACCGATCTCAAAACGTTTTTTTTTTAAATTTAGACTAGTTTAATTTATATGGCTCTCAGTTCTTTTCCCAGTTAGCGTAAGGATCTCAGTCATAAAATGAATATATATTTTACTTCCACTTGTTGGATGGATTTGTTTTTTTTTCTATGGAAATCCGATGACATTAGAATAACACGATAACTTTGATCTGATGCTGCAGCCGGGATAGTCTACGGACTACCCAACTCAATTACTTATAGTAGAACTATCGTATTTGGACTCATAAATTTGTCTCGATACCTCACTGATAGTGGCCATATTGATTTTTTGGAGCACACTGTTTGTCTCGGGGGTTTTTGTTGTTTGTTTTGTTAAGTAAGCATTCATAGCATCAATATTAATGCATGGTCCAGTTATATGTGTGTATTTTTTAAATTATATTATTTTGGCAGAACATAGTGTTATTTTTAATGTCGTTATCGAAGCATATTTTGAATTTGTCAAAACTTTAAAGGACTTAATGTAAATATTGCCATTCTTTTACCGTTCTCGTTTGACGTGAGATGTTTAAGCACTGTGCCAATAAGTACATTTTGGAGCGGGAGGCCCTGAGACGAAAACGGTTCATAGGACATTGTTTTTTTAGCACAGACACTTATGACGGATGTCCCAGAGGCGTATACGAAAAAAACTGCCAAAGAATATAAAGCAAAGATTATGGAAAAGTGTACGATAAAAAACCTAGGGGAGTAAGTTTAAAAAAAAACTTATATATATATAGTGTGTATTTACTATTTATCCAAAGATAAAAAAATCGTGTACATTATTTAAATTTACATTACAAAAAAATCTATTTTATATTTCCCTTTTGTTTTCTGCAATAATTAATCCAAAGAATTTTCAAAGAAAGTGTGTGTCTTAGATATTTTATATTATAAAAATCATTTTACGCCCTATAAAGGTCGGACCCCATTCGCCAGCACGCTTGTACACTATGTATTGTGTGGGCTACTTTATATTCGTGTGTTTTATTAGCGCTGTCAGTGGCTCCTTTTTAGTGGATAAATGTAAATAGAAACCAGGATAGGTTCAGGAATACTTTTTATTGTTATTTACTCATGAAAATGAACTGAACAATATAGACTTTACAGAATTCTTACTAAGTAAATATGTCAAATCGTTTATCGGTATTATTAGTTTGAGAACTAACAGTAACCAGTATGTCTTAAATTGCTTTTAAGTCTATGACAGGATCTATTAAATTAAAATAACTCGACATAATAATCGCACTTGGTGACGTGAGATTATGTTACTACATACAGAATACACGTGCTGACAGATAGGGTCTAACCCCGCAGCCTAATACAGGCCTTTTTAAAATCGAAAGATGTCGGATTAAATATCTAAGATAAATATTTTTTTTTACAAATACATTTTATTTACTTTCTAATGTTATATTCATAATATTGTTAGTGTAAAGTTTAATTATGAATAAAAAAATGATTGGCCTTTTACGAAACATTGGAGTGCTTGTACGGACTTCGTCCAGATATAAATTTAAAGAAAAGACTTAAAAGATGAAATTTTTAATAAATATTACTTACCGGCTAAGTTGTATTTGAATATTATAGAATGCAAATTGCTGAATGACTACTATATGAAAGTGAACGCTTTGTAATTAACCATAGAACCGAGTATATTTGTTTATTCAAACTAACTCAATTTTTCGGGCCTTACAGGCCCCCATGGGCACAGCTCATATGGTGACTGACAACTATGTAAACTTTTGATGAGCCAGTGGTTGGCATTGTGGCCGTTAGATAGAAATACCCGGTAGGACCAATTTGTATAACGAATTTTTCCCTTCTGGTCTAGGTGTTCTGGGTACACCCACGCCAGGCGATTCTCTGCCTTGAGACCAGTTAATTGCTATGAATGTTTGACATATTATTGTTGTATGAAATATTTTAATTCTGCTTGTCACCAGAGCCGTTGTGCAATTTTACATAGGAAAGTGTCAAAAATTCCACATGGTTGCTAGCAACAACTGTCTTTGTAATCTTAATGTTCAAATATCAGAATTTCCCTTTCGCGGAATGTCTTTTTCGCAGAACGTCTCTTTCTCATAAACACCCTTTTTCCCCCCCAATGTTCTCCTTGTAGTATAAAAACAGAACCAATAAACTTTTAACCTTCAGCCATTGACTTACAAATCCTTCAGCAGAAAATTCAGCTGTGAAAATTACAAACATCACTCTGGGTTGAGTTCCTGTACATTATGAATAATTATGAACTCACTTTCATATAATATTTATTCAACAGAATTCATCTTAAGCTTTTGATGTGGCTTAATATTGAAAATTGCTATTGCAATTATACGCCTCTTTACGTAATGGTAAGGCCTTAAAATAATTTATAAACTAATATAATGTACTTAAAACGTCAGTGTCGTAATGAAACTGTAGCGTCGATTCGGGTAAGCACAAACTGAATTTAATTTGATTTCAGTGCAGTTAATTAAAGGTGAATAAATTTAATTTGGTTGAGTGCTGTCAAATTTTCATAGCTCTTTTTAATATTTATTTATTGAATATCATGTTTTTACTGCTATGATATACAGAGTGTTTTTTTTAATTGGGACAGTTTGGGGAAATCCGAAATCGTAGAAGATAACAAGGAAACATGTTTTGTGAAAACAATTTTGGCATAGCCAATTTTTTGGTCAAGCGTGAGTTGGCCATAATAATGAATAAAATTGATCATATTTTTTTAGTACTAATCTTTATGTAAGGATCATTTCATTGTATGGGACAAAAAAAATCGGGACGGCAGAAGTTGGTCGAATTTCATAAAATGATTTTTCATACAAAATAAATAAAATTGACTGTTATTTTTTAATGCTGATAGATTCATTTTCTTATAAGAATATTTTTATTGTATTGGAATAAAAGAATCGGGACAGCAGAGGTTGGTCTAATTTAGTTATTTATTTTGTATTAATTTTTTTTTTTAATGAAATTTGACCAACGTCAGCTGTCCAAATTTTTTTCCTCCTATACAATGAAGTCATCCTTATAAGAAACTGAGTCTATTAGCATTATCACCAATAAATTGACTATTCCGAAATTGTTTTCACAAAAAAAAACTTAATGGTTTCTAAGACAGTTTTCTTATATCTTCTATGGTTTCCGATTTTCCCATACTGTCCCATTTAAAAAGAAACATTGTATAGCCCTCTGTGAGACATCTATGAATGTTTTTATACCACTAATTTATTATAATTATTAATACAAAGATCGAACACTAAAAAAATCCATAGATCCGGCTAGGTTCGAATTAAAAAAAAATTACTATTATGGTGCGATACGAAGTTGTCCATGAGCATGACCTAATTTGACAGTTCTAAATTGTAACTACATTTTCTTACTGACAAGGAACGAGTGAATTTAACAGTTTGCGTTTATCCAAATCGACAAAAATATTTCTTTAATAGTGTTTTTTTAGATAGTTCCTTTATTTTTTGGGCCTGCATTTTATTGTTACTCGCCTAACCGTCGTAACTGGTGTTAGGCAAATTTTTTGGTCAACCTACTCACGGTTTAATGTACATGTCGGTCAATTAATGAGCTGAAGCGGTAGACGATTGATGGACAGTTTTACCATAGTATAATAAGTAGTGTAACTCTATGTAAACATAACAGCACGCACACATTCACACAATCTTGCATTGCACTCGCGTTGCACATGAGTCGTCACACGCGTCAGGGTTTTTCAATAAGGACATAACAATTTTGTATTTCAATAAAATACAGAATAATAAAGATATTAAATTGAAATTTATTCCATGTGCTGTACACATGTTACATTTAAGAATGGAATTCGATCCCGTTTATATAACCACCACGAGCACATTTGCAGCATTCAATTGTTTGGAGCCAATTTTCTACCACTCTTCCTCACATGTCGGACGAAATGTTGGCAATTTTTCGTTTGATATTGTTCCTGAGCTCATTTAACGTCGTTGGCTTATTCTCCATAAAAAGTAATCCAAAAGTGTTGTCGCATGAGCGAGGTGGCCATTCGACGGGACCATTTGGCGAGATTACACGATTATCGAACTTCCTCTTCAATAGACCAATTGTTTGACTAACTGCGAACGTGCATATGAGCGAGATCGAATTCCATTCTTAAATGTAACACGGTGTACTGCACCTGGAATAAATTTTATCTGGATATCTCAATGTTATTTTTCTGTTTTCTATTAAAATTGCAAAACTGTTATGTCCTTATTGAAAAATCCTATAGAATTGAAGCGTTCGCGCGGTGTTTAAAATATTTAACATATATTTCTGCATCAAATTATACTCGTATAAATACTAAATTTGACAAAAGTTATTTGAAGCCAACACGAGAATGCGGTGCTGAATACCTTAATTCTTTCAAATTATGTTTTTCAACATGTAAGTACGACTAAAATCACAACGTGACAACCCTACGTTCCGAGAGACGGGAAGGTATTTACGCGGCGTACACGCGGGAGTTACACTACTCATGGTTTTACTTAGTTATGTGAAATAACAGTTACGCCAGTTATAGAGTGACTAGATGTATACTTGTAGCGGGATTGCAGAGAACCGATCACCGTGAACAGAGTTATTATTTGTGCTAACGATTTTCTATTGTTTTTTTTTATTATTTCGCTACATGTATACGGCAATGCAAGGCAACTGGAGTGACAACTGTGCCCCCAAAGATTTATTTGAAACCAAAATTAAGCTATTCCTAAACATATGCAAAACATGACGCCGAGTGTAATAAAATATGACCCAATAAAAGCCGTCGATGTGAATTAATAATATGTAATAGAAAATACTTTGCTTGTATCACGATTCATCAATCTGAATTGATCAATCTGATTCTTGAATAGAATTATTAATCGATATTGATAATTTCATGAATATAAATTGGTCAATTCGTCAAACCAAAACATTAAACGGACTTCGATTCACATTGTCATTTAATTTACTAATAAGTGTCAACGAACCAGCCAATGGGCTGCCACCGAATTGCTATCTTTATTAGTTAGTTTTATTGACTTTCGTTCGGTCTCATTAACAGCTTCATCTGTTTAGGCCTAGCTTAAGAACCAAGGCTAAGAATATGTTCCTACCTATATAATTTTCATATAGAATAAAACGCCTTGAATATGTCCGTTTTATTATACATATATAATTCAATATTAAAAAATTATTTAACAAGTTTAAAATAATACATGTTTCCGTCTCTTTTTACATTTACGGGAGTGAAAGAGGTGGCAATCGTCTTTCTACTGTCAAATAACTTATTCAGAAATATTCTATAGCGTAACTATGCGCCCATTAGAGGGCGCAGTGAAAGGTCAAACTGTCAAATCGTTAAAAGTGTCAAATGGCACGCCAGCGCTGGACTGGTATGAAAAAATGTTTTCACGACGCTAATGCTTTGCCAGCACTGGTATGTCACTATATGAATGTAAATCAGCTGTCGTAATTATTTCGTCACTCGTTTTCTGCTACCGCTTGCCGTGACATCAATTTACGTGTGGTATGAAAATAAATTATCAGTTATTTATTACAGTTACTGACAACACTGCAAAAACAAGCGATGCGCTTATATTACAGATAAGTTGATGTAACTGTAGGTTAGCAGCAAGAGACCATGTTCACAATAAAACAATGTTTATGCCAGCCAACATGTCAGCCGACAGTGTCCACATAACGGTCAACACGGCCAACTTGTTCGCTGATGAATGGCCAACTTTATTTAACTACTCGTAAATCTATCACCACTTTCAATTTATTTTGTACTTAAATTCAAATATA